CAGATTCTGTTTTGTTTTGGCAGCCACAGGTGCAGGTTGGGCAGTTTACTACTGTGTCATTGTAGAAGGATGAGAGGGAAACACAACAACTTGGAGTCTTTTGAGCCAGGAATTGAGAATAAGTGCAGGTAATATTCCAAGTCACTGCCACAAAATATTCAAGTTTAGTTGAAGAGAAGTAAGAATTTGGATTTCTTACTCTGAATAATGTACAAAGCATAAATTATTATTCAGTACATGACTACCAACTATTTATTTCACCAAAATAATATCCATTACATTTCCAGAAGCAATGATGCTAACATGAAAAATGAAAATGAAACGTTGAAAGTGAAAAACATGGATAGAATAAACTTCCGAGACTAAAAGTAATAACAAAAGTTCAAAAGAAACTTCAATAGAACAAGGGCCTGTATGTACATATCTTATATCTATCTAGAAGCTTGTCTTAGAAGAAAGTTTAGAAAGACAAACGAATATAAGAAGGATTTTGATTAATTCAGTGTAATTTTCAACTAACTTACTCATGGCTTGGGTGGTTCTCCTCTTGTCACTGGTAATAAATGTAGTTGGTTTCACAACCTTTGCAGGACCACAAGTGTAGCCAGGTCCTGGTGCTTTGAGGGTAAAATTTTTAGGCAGTTTGACCGTTCTGTTTGTGGTTCCAGCAGAACCAACACTAATCTGGAAAGAACTTACTGCACTACTGGGGTCCTGACCCCATGAATTTAGGACACCCCCTTTGCAACAATTTGCAATCTGCTGGTTGTAAGGAGTTCCTGGCAGTAAATCCACCACTGTTGGATCCTTCTTACAACAATGAGGAATACCTGCTTTGAACTTTGAACAGTCCCCTTGCTCTGTGGTTTGGCTTCCCATCATGTTCCAAATTACTTCTTTTTTAGCCCATGTCCACCCTAATGACCATCCAGGGGACTGAATGTGGCGATATTGTTGAAAGTTGTACATTGTAACAACAGCCTGCTCAAGCCATACAACAAGGTTCAATATGTTTCAAGAAGCAGAAACAGATCACAGAAGCCTAATTTCACTCAAAATCAAATCTAAAAAAATTGGTTTCTGCTTCTTTGACACGTGACGTAATTCATTATCTCAATGAAGTAAGAGGTGAATACAAAATGTCAAAATAGTAATAACCAATTAACCATAGTAAAATTTACCCGCTCAGACAAACTTTTGAGTCCTGTTCAAACAAAGTATGTGCGATTGAGAAGATCCATCAAGTTACAAATAAGTCCAGTCTTACATAGTTCTCATTGATTTTAGAAAAAATTTCAAGGTACGAGTTATACTGAATATGTTTAATATACATTCAAAAATCTGTGGTCACTTACAAGATAGCCATCTGGAGTCCAGCTAATGACATCCCATTTGATTGTTATATTGCCAGTTGGATCAAGCGGATCATAGGCTTCTGTAAATGAACAAGCAATAAATATTGATGAATTTTAAATTAATCTGAAAATTTTTCCAACAAAATACATCTGACTCAATTGCTTTCGAGCTGGAGATTAGAGATTTTAACAGATATAGTAAAACACTAAAACAAAAAATAGATAAAAGTGTAATTTGTATCCATGAGCAACCTCACTTTCTCCAAGTTCAATAAAGAAACGGTCTACTTATCTAAAGTAGTTATCAGATGGGTGTAACTGTACTAATCTATAGTTCTATTAATAGAAACCAGATCACTAATATGCAACAGCTAAGTGCTTAAAATGTAATAGAAAATTCATTTAAAAAGAAATATATTGATTCCATCTTTCACTTTCTTTGATCGGTTAAAGTGCCAAACAAAAAAATATGAACCGACACAAAGAAGTGAGAATACAAATTGACTTGGACCCGTCAACTAATATACAGATCAATGCAATAAAATGTCCTTCAACTTCCTCAATCACAGTTCTAGCAAAAGAACCAAACTTTTGAGAAAATGGGAACTCGGTAACTCAGAAATAGAAACAGAACCAGAAACCAAATTATCAATGTACATGTAGGAACTAAATTTGAGCTCCATGCAAACAATGAGAGAAAGCCAATACCTGTAGAACTGAATGAGGAGAAAAAGAAGAGCAGCAGGAGCAAGACTGCAAAAGCACCACGAGGGACAACAGATCCAACGGCAGGTAACATTTTGTGTTCCATTTCTTGATGCAGATTTTATATGACAATGTTGCTCAAGTTCAAGATCTGCACCAAAAGGGAGTGAGAGCAAAGTGTAGACCTCTCAGCTCTCTAGTTCCATCACAAAGCAGAAGCTTTTGGTTTAGAAATGAACTGAGTCTGTCATGAAACTTCATGTAATCACTGTCTTTATTGTATAACTGTAACAAAACTGTTTGGAAGATCTGATACAAACAGACATCACCAAATATCTAGTTTGCCCTTTAATGACAGTTAATCTATTGAACAAAAATGGTTAATTTTTTACAGAGTTAGGTAATAGTGTCTCTTATATTTACAGTAGGCTTTGTTGATTTAGTGCAGAGTTATATTTGTCAGTCAAAAATTAATTAAATAAAAATTAAAAATTTAATATTTAATATACAAATGCATTTGTTTTGTTGAAATTTTAACTGTTAAATTTTCGAACCAAGATGTTGTTTTTTCTCCGTGGCACTTAAATTTGAAAACTTTTTTAGGTCCCATTTGAATACTGAGGTGATTGTTGCACCCTATTTATTTAGGGATATTATGGGAATAAGAAAAGATACCGACAGCAAGAGGAACATGTGAAGGAAAGACAGATGCATGGGTTTAAATAATTAAAAGGAAAAGTTGAAAAATCTCCTTAAACTTGTCGGTGAGATGTTTGCTACAATGTTTTACATTATAACTCTACAACTTGTTCTCAAGGTAGATCCATCCCTCACAGGACCAGAAAACTACATGAGATTACTGAGTCATTGATTGATTAGATAGCAGTTAGCTATGTTTTTGTTTTTTCTGAACATTATTTTAAGACCCCATCCCGTCTCAAGCAATTATACATTACCACTTTTGTACGGACCACATTTGTTTTATGTTTCTCTTAACACTCTTGATTATATAATTAATAGTTTTGTTGTCTAAACTGTGAAGTTGTGACAACTACATGTTTCTTTTTAATGTGCATATAGCTCCTTGGATGAGTCGGCTGTATATTCATCATATTAATAGTAACTGCAAAATGTGGAAATGAGAAATATGTTCGTTTTAAAATTATATATTTTTCATAATTGTTTTATTTATGTTGGAGAGTTTTTGTTTGAGGTAAAAGTCCTAATAATTCTTCACCCATAAATATCTAATTTTTTTTTCCATAGTTTAGGATTATTTATTGATGTAGAATATGAGTAATGTCAACTTTTTTTTTCTTTTCTTTTTTAAAAAATTAAATCTTATTGAAAAAAGTTATGTCAATCAAGGTTCATTGAAGGTGTGATCTCACTCTAAACCTATATTTATTTTAAATGATAATTTTTTTTAAGAAAATATAATATTAACGAGATTTGGATCTAGCTAATACAAAGAATTAATACTACTTTCAACCTAAAATATTAAAACTTTAGATTAAAAATGCCGTTAATTTCTCTGACATTACTCAGATGTGTTTTATTGATTTGGAAAGAATAACCAAATATATAGACTATACAAAGTATCTAGACTCTTAAGGAAAAAAATATATCAATTATTCAAGACATAATCAATTTTACAGAAGTTAAATAAGGTAACTTACAATCAAATATGTTATTTCTTATCACTCGGGTTTTATTAATGTTAAATTTATCTGATGAATCTTCAACTTCTATAAGACTCATCATTTATATAAGACATACTAAATTTTCTTTGACTTTAAAGGTAAAATACTTGAAAGGAAGATTAGAAAAATACTGTCACTTTTGAGACTGTGTAACATTTCAAAATGATGTTTTAGGAACATAATTTCATTTGACACGTTGCTTGTCATCAAGTATATGGTTGTGTCATTAATACCATTTAATTGCCTCTCACACTAATTCCCCATTTAAAACTCTCTACAGGCACTATTTGCTCTACAAATTTCCTAGGTAAGACATTAACCCTATGCTTAAAATTAATCCATGCATAGTGAATGTACATTGGTTTAGTTAATTGTTATATGTTTAGTCTTTTGGGGTGAATCTACCTATTTAATGTTAATGGTTTGTTTGAAGTTTCGGATAACCAATAACTCCTCTAAGATATCGTTTGCAATTTATTTTAATATCGTGGGTTGTTGTGTAATCCTTCATATAATGTTTCTAAAAATTCTATGCATCATAATAATATGATTGAATTTTTTGTTTGAAGTTTTTTAGCAATCAAAAGGCCTATTAAAGGGTTTAGCACACTATTCAAGTTATTTGGGAGATGCATGACGTGTGATGGATTAAAATAAACAAAGATGGGTTATTAAAGGGTGTTTGGGTTTTTCTATTTGTGGAGGTACTTTTAGGAGTCATTAGGATAACTACATTGTCAGCTTCACTTCTTTTTTGGATTTTAAGTGGTTTAATTCTCTTCCTTTTATTTATTATTAGTTTAAACATTTTTTATAATAGGTATGAATTACATATATTGTGAGTTGTGTAATTCTTTTGAATGGAGTTTATTTTCTATTTTTGGAGCCTTAGTTTGGTTTACTTCTTCGTATATATATATTTTTTTCTTTTTAATGGGTTGATTCATGTGATGACACATAGATAAATTATAAATATCAACTTAAACATTGTAATATCAAACCTCACTTAAGAGCAATATCCAATACTTATATTTATTACATTTTAATAAAAACCAATATATGCTAGTGAGAGAATGATGTTTCTTTCTTCATTCTTTTAAATTTTTAGAAAATCAAATATGTTTTTTATAATTTTGAATGACAAATAATGTTTTGTTAAAAAGAGTATTGAAGTAAAATATTTAATTGCTTTAGCTAATTTACCTTTCCAAAATCGTGTTAAAGTATAAAATTACTCATTTTTTTTTCTCTGTTTCTCAGTAGTGTTTTCTGATAATTTATGTCTTCGTTTTATCCCACTTGACACGTTTTTTCTGTGGAAAAAACGAATTTTGCAAATAAATTGATTTTCTTTTAATTTTGAAGACCCTTTGAAAGTGGCGGCAGCAAAGTGACCATGGCTAAGCCCTTCCTCCTCCGATTTGGGAACTAACCAAAAAGATCAGTTTTTAGGGTTCTTGGTTTCGTCGAATCGAGGATATTTTCTCTATGCAGCAATGGATAGCAGTAACTCGGAACAGGCCGTGCTTGATGGCAAACTCTACAGAAACATCAATTCTCTCATCGTCGCACATCTTCGGGACAACAATCTCACCCAGGCAAGCCCAATCTTCCTTCAAACATAACCTAACATGTTGAATGAATGCATTTATTTATCTCAGAAACCAATTTTCTTTTTTATTTATAAAGCAAATAAAATGCTTGCTAATTTTTCTTCAGGCTGCAAGTGCTGTTGCTTCAGCAACCATGACTCCACTGAATGTGGAAGCCCCACCTAACAGGCTTCTCGACCTGGTTTCTAAGGTTCTGTCTTATTTCATTTGAGCTTTTACTGGATAAATTTCTCCTAAACACTTTCAGGAAAATGAAATGTTTTGTCCCTTTATTAGCTAAAATCAACTTATCTTGATTTTAAAAAAATTGAATGGAAGTTTTTATTGAACTGAAGTGTATAAGCTGATTTTTGTTTGTGGGATGAGTACAGCTTATTTTACTTTCTTTTTTCTGTAAGTGTTTAGACGGAAATTTGTTTAGAAGGGATATACTTTTTTCTGTGCAGTATGATCCTATCTTTTTGCTCTAAGAAAATAATAACAGGGTCTTGCAGCGGAAAAGGGCGACATCACGAGAGGCACTGATTTCTCAGCCTCACTGCCCCTGCCTCACACTGCAGCTATTGATTTCAGGCAAACTTCCAAAACTACATTTCTATTGACTATCAAATATAATTTGTTGTATTTAATTTCGAGCAAGACTTATAAGTTATTTCAATGTAGCGAATAAGTTATTGACTTGAATCTTAAGTCGGCCATAGGTGACAATATCTCATGCCCTCTTGAAAATTGCGTTTTGTTTATGGTAGCACTGCGCCGGATATGAAAGGTTCCTCAAAGAGCTTCCCGAAGCATGAAACGCGACACCTTTCGGAACACAAGGTGTGCAATATAGTTTGATATTGTATACATTTCCTGCAATAATAATTCGATGTAATACGAAAATGAAATGTTGTTTTGGACTGATAGGCTTAGTTTCTAGAATATTGCCAGATGTGCTAGGTTTAGTGCTGATGGAAGGTTTGTTGCCACTGGAAGTGCCGATACTTCAATAAAGCTATTTGAGGTGCTGATTTTTTTGTTTAGTATTTGGAAGCTTTGCCTTTTATTTGACACATTATGTGAACTTGATCTTCTGCTTGTCTTGCAGGTTTCAAAGATCAAGCAGATGTTGCTGCCAGAGGCAAAGGATGGTCCTGTGCGGCCTGTCATTCGAACATATTATGATCATATACAAGTGTGTTTGAACTTCCTAATATACCACTAACAGAATTTATGTGGTTATTTTTATGATATTATTGGGTTATGTTTAGATAAATTTTTCCTTAAGAGAAGAAAAAATAAATAAACTTTTCTCATAAGCTAGAATTTGTTATTCATAATTTAAAATAAGTTTGTTAGACAATGATAGATTTCTTTTGAGATGTTAGCATTGTTGAGATACTAAAGTACATAGTGATGCCTAACTTAAATTTTATAAAAAGTAAAAATAAGTTTGTTAGAGAAGTTAAATACGAGAGTGTCCACGGATCAACTGTGCATGACCTAATTTTAACTTATAGAAATTTTGTTTCATTTTATCTTCTTATTTTAGCCTATGAAGAAGCTATGGTGAGTAGTTGGTCATGAGTTCGATCTGTAAACAGTTTCTTTGCATATACAAGTATGAGTTTACGTACAATGACCCTCCTCTATATATACCTTTGCATAGCAAGGAACATTTTGAAGCTAGATTATGCTAGTTTGTTTTCTTCTCTTACATGTGCTTATGGTGAAGTTTATCCAAACAGAGCCTCTTTTTCATATTTATTTCACTGATCCTGTGGAAGTTCGTAGTTGTGATTATTTCTGGCTTGACAAATTTACTTAGTCTAAAGCACTATGTATCAAATTGCCAATTTGTATCTTGGCTGTGGTGGATCTTTTTGACTCTAATACTGGCGAGTTTTGGAGGATGCTTATTTTCTGATTTTATTAAGCTTTACTTTCCAAATTTGAGTTTATGAAATGATCCTTGGAAATTGAAATTGTAAAATGTATTTATTTTTCTTATATAAACATGTATAATGCAGCCAATAAATGATCTGGATTTTCATCCACAAGGTACTATCCTGATTTCTGGAGCCAAAGATCAAACAATAAAGTATGTTTTTGCTCCATAATATCCATTTCATCTGCATTTTATTCCCATGTTTCTGTCCTTTTATTTGAAAATTCTCTTACAATCTGACATGTTGAGGTTTATATTTTTTTAGGTTTTTTGATATTTCAAAAACGAATGCAAAGAGAGCATACAGGGTTATCCAGGTTGTTTTGCCCTACCTTTAGGCATTAGCAATGAGTAAGCAAATATAAGAATTACATATAAACTCCCAAATTAAATATGCAGGACACACACAATGTTCGATCTGTATCTTTCCATCCATCTGGGGACTTTCTGCTGGCAGGTATTTATTTTATCACATCTTGTTTTTTTTCACAAAAAATCAGTGATAATAGATATGAGTTTCTGACAGGAACTGATCATGCAATTCCACATTTGTATGATATAAATACCTTTCAGTGTTATCTGTCATCAAATATCCCAGAGACCAGCCCTAGTGGAGCCATAAACCAGGCATGTAATTATCTTTTCATCAGTATCACAAACTGTGAATTACCTAACACTACGGTGATGCTGATTATTTCTTTGTCTGATTCGTAGGTCAGATATTCTTGTACAGGTTCCATGTATGTTACAGCATCTAAAGATGGTGCTATTAGGTTATGGGATGGCATCACAGCCAATTGTGTGCGGTCAATAACTGCAGCACACGGAACAGCTGAGGCTACCAGTGCAATTTTTACCAAAGATCAAAGGTATGAATACATTTTTTGTGCAAATATTGGACACAGCAAAAACCATGAGTGATACTGCTAGTCACTACCTGCTACATCATGATCTATGCCTGGAAATGTGGTCCTAGTGTTGGTTGATTTTGAACCTTAGCAATAGTATTGTTGACTTTGAAGTAGGTGTTTCCTTTATTCCAAATGGTATCAACTTCAAAATTCGAAATCTTCAATGAAACTCCTGTTTACTACTAAGCCTTTGTTTATCTAAATGAATGGGATTTTTGCTATAGCTGTAATAAAAAAATCACCAACCAAGAAAACATGAGCCATAGGACAAAAGTTGTTGCATTTCTTACTTGTCCGTTGCTTTTGATGAAAGGATATAGCTATTGGTGCCCATCAAGACCAACTTGTTACACTTTCCTGAAGTTCTTAATAGGCTTAGATCTTGTAGACATGTAGTGATTTAACTGTCTGATTTCTAGGTTTGTTCTCTCCTGTGGGAAGGATTCTACAGTAAAGCTTTGGGAAGTCGGCTCTGGAAGATTAGTCAGACAATATCTTGGAGCTATACATACCCAACTAAGGTGTCAGGTACATAAATGATAGATACATAATACGTTCTATTCGGTCAGTTAATCTTGGTGAATTCAGTCATGAAGAACTGCAGACGCTTGTATTTTTAATTTGCACTAAGAGATGTTTATGTTCATCTCTTTTTAGTAAGTTAATTCAGCCTATCAGTTTTAAAATTGCTTCTCTTAATTTATTGTTCTCCATCACAATATACAGGTAATTATTGTTTTGTTGGGTACATCGGGAATAGCAGTTTATTACAGCAGAACCTCTATCCAAAACCTCTAATCGCCTAGCCGTTAGTGCACGTGATATTTTTATCCATATTCTGATAGTTACCTTTGTGTGCACTCTCTGTTGCAGGCTATTTTTAATCAGACAGAAGAATTTATTATATTCATAGATGAACTGAGCAATGAGGTTTGTTCATCCATTTTCTTTTTCTCCATGTTTACCTGTGGTGATGTTAGCTTTATTAATTGGATTGATTTTATTTGAGGCATCCGGGTAATACATTGCAGATCGTTATCTGGGATGCAATGACAACAGAAAAAGTTGCAAAGTGGCCTTCTAATCATGTTGGTGCACCCCGTTGGCTTGAACACTCACCAGTTGAGTCAGCTTTTATTTCCTGTGGAACTGATAGGTCAGTTCGGTTCTGGAAGGAGACTGTATAATAAAGGGGAGGAGGCTGAATGCATTTACGGACAGTATTAAAGTTATCACTGATTAGAAGTTAACTCAGGGAATTCCATTTTATTTTTGTTTATTCTCTGTTATTTGTAGCCTTGCCCTGCAGAATAGTTAAGGCTTTCAACGCTTGGAATCAGAAGATTGCCTATCTCCACCGATGTGATCTGCTCAAATTTTAGAGCGATTCTAACTGTTTCATATTTTCATCAAAGAAGCTTAAAGTTGGTTTGGATGAACCTTGGCGGGTCATTATGTCTTGGAGCTGGGTATACTCACGGCCTTTCCATTTAGGATGTTATGAGTCTGTATAATCCGCATCATAAACGGATGTACCTTAATTTTTATAAACATTTGCCCCGTGAAACTTATGGGTTGGTCTGCACAAGTTTAAATACACTAGTATTATTTGACATTTATTTGCATAATGATAATATATTCAATCTATTAAACAATGCATAAGTTTACAGAAACTAGAAATGTTAGATTTTGGGTTACATTGGACTTGACGCAGGTTGTGGGTTGTGTGTGGTGTCTGTGGTTCTCTGTATAGTTTGTGGTCGAAAATCCCCCATTCAAAATTTTACCAGAAAATTTAAATCCAGAATTCTGACGACTGCCAGAATTATGACTTTAGTCACATAATTGACTAAAGCAATTGTAATTGGGTTATTGATGAGTTACATATGAAGAATAAAAGAATATTTTTAAAAGTTTTTTAATTTACTTGTATAAGGCATGCACTGTAGATATGTATTACCACGACCAATTGTAATTACTAGTATTCTATAAAACATCATCCTATGTTTATCACGTCTTCTATCATCAACTTTCATACATGTTGCATCTTCTATGCTATAATTACTCTGAAACATGTTATATTCGTCATGCTTGCGGTAGCTGCCATGCTATATTTGTTATGATTACTCGAAATATTTATATTTTATGCTTTGATACAGTATCAAACAATCGATTCAAAATTTATCATACTTGTTATTATATTTGTTATCGTAATTGTTATCATAAGAAAAAGACTCTTAATTATATATATATATATATATATATATATATATATATAAATCTTTACTTAATTCAATTAGTTTAGGTTCAAGATTTCATGAAGAAACCAAATGAACATTATATTTATTTTAATCTTAAAAAGGTGGTGTAGATGGAAAATTTTGGAAAGCAGACTCGACTTTCAATATACTACATTTTTCTTCCTATATACTCCTAAAAAGATTTCAATATCTTAAAAAGGTTTTTCTTCATATACCAAGAAAACAAATCGTCAAATTCAATATACTCTCCGTACCTTTTTGCATGTTAGATCCAACACATTTAAGGTTTTGATTAGATCAGAATATTGCTTGCTGAGTTTTTTTTCTTTCAATTGTTTAGCTGCATGTGATGTCTCATAAACATTAGAATAAACATTAAACCGTCTTTCTCAACATATAAACTATTTTAAAGTTTTGGTGCATGTAATTGGAACACAACTACATAGAACACACGTTCGAAAGCTTATAGATAAAGTTTAAACGTTCCATTGTTATATCTAGACATCTAGTGAATCCACTAGAATTTAACAATCTTTTTAATTTTTTTACAATCACAGATACAACAAAGTTTAAATTAACTGCAATCAATATATAAAAATAAATAAGTAACATATATATATTATTACTTTATATGATCTTACGTGTAGAATGCCGATAAAAAAATTCTCACATAATAGAATAACGTTATAATGAAATCAATATAAACAAATTTACATTGGAAGGAAATATATGTGCAATTTTAGCTTAATAGATAAATTTATCTATTTTTCTTCTCTTATTATAAGTAAAAATGGAAAAATCTATCTAAACATAACTCAATAATCTCAAAATAGTAACCAAACAAAATTCTGTCACGGGTATATATATCAGAAAATGCAAAGGCACTTATATATACGATCATAATATGTTCGAATGACAGGCCGCTAAGGACCATCCTTTGCCTTTGGTAGAAACATCTGATTGATCTTCGAACCCTGTTAGATAAGCAGAAGATTAAGTTCAGAAACCGTGTCAAATGAAGTGCAAAACATCTAAATCCTAAATAACATATCAGCACCTCAAATAGCTTTATTATTGTATCAGTGCTTCCGGTGGCAACAAACCTTCCATTAGCACACCTGGAACTATTCTAGAAACTAAGCTGATCAGTCCAAAACAACGGGGAAATGTATACACTATTAAAGAATATATCTTGTGCTCCGAAAGGAATCTTGTTTCATGCTTCGAGAAGCTCTTTGAGGAACTTTCATGTCAGACGAAGTGCTGCCGTAAACAAAACGCAATTTTCAAGAGAGCATGTGATATTGTGACCCACGGATGACTTAAGATTTCAAGTAATTAACTCTTTCGTTGCACTCGAATGAATGAACTTCTAAGTCTTGCCCCAAATTAAATACAACAAATTATGTCCGATAGTCAATAGAAATGTAGTTTTGGAAGTTTGCCTGAAATCATTAGCTGTTGTGTGAGGCAGGGGCAGTGAGGCAGAGAAATCAGTGCCTCTGGTGATGTCGCCTTTTTTGCTGCTAGACCCTGTTATTATTATTTACTTGAAGAAAAAATGAGAGAGACATACTTCCTACAAAGCTCGATTTCAGAAGCACATCAAAGAATCTCAATTGGGCAAGGGCAATTCCAGAGTACTAATATAAGTACGTATCAAGTCAAAACTCAATTTTGATAGTCATTCATTGACTCAAATTCATCCCACCACTAAACCAGAGACTCCATGAATGACCTCACGCTCTCCACATCTTCATCCATTTCAGCAAACTTCTGCGGTTTAAAAAGTTTCCACAGTCCAGCGGGATGCTTCGTCTTAACTTGAACACCACACCCAGAAAACCTTCCATAGATCTTTTCACACTCCGGGTATGGCTTCACATAAAGATTATAGAACCTAAGCCTAGAAGGCATAAACAAATCCTTCAACCCAAACTCAAACCCAATGGCACCTTTCCCCCTCAAACACTCTACCACACTGTACCTAGCCACAATCTGCTTCTCAAAATTCACACCCAAATATTTAGGCACCTCAGCCAAACACTCTACACTACACTTCATCCTCTGCACAAGAAACTCAACCTTCCTTTCAACATCCCCAACCTCGTAACAAATCACCCTAGGCTCCTTCCAAATAACCTTCAGAGCATCCATTCGAGTCAAACCATACCCACACAAACAATCCACTCTTAATTTCACCTCAAAACACACTCTCATCAGACCCGAACCTATAACCCTCTCTTTGATACTTTCCCTGCATTTCAAACTCTCTATCAGTCTCAAACACCGCGTAAGCTCTCCAATTTCCATCCCCAGAATCCTCGGGTCCCGCGAGATCTCGCTCCTCATCTCACGATTGGAAAACCCTAGCTCCTTGATTTCCCGAAACAACGGCATCAGCCTCTGCTCAACACCGAGCGCCAAAACCCTAGGAAAGGAACGGACAACGAGATCAATCTCGTCCCGGGGAATTCCGAACCCCGCGAGAAAATCTATCACGCTCGCGATTTCGTTCTCGCTCGTGACAACCACGTCGGGGAACCCTTCCAGAATGCTGGCCACGGTGGCGTCGGAAAACGCGAAATCGGTTTTGAGCGCGTTGAGCTTGGGTGAGAGTTGGAGCGGGTCGAGATGTAACTTTGTGGAAGAGAGGAGAAGGTTGAGGAGGGTGGAAGGGGAGAGTGTGGGGAAGCGCGTTTGGAGATGGGGGAGACGGGATTGGAGGGTGTGGTGGAAGGAATGGTGGAGGAGGGAGGGGTTGGTAGTGAGGAGGGAAACGATGTCGTTTTGGGGGATGCGGAGGGAGAAGAGGGTGGTGAGGGAATGTCCTGGTCAACGACAAATTTGTAACTATTCATGTTTAGGAATCTGTTAATGATCTTTATATGCCCACTTTCATGCATTTTCATGTACAATTGAAAACACAGACAAAAATAATGTGAAAAGGGTGAAATGAAATAATTGCAACTCAAGGATCCATGGTACTTTCATGTTGGAGTTTCTTTCTCTCCTCTTCCTTCACTTAAGACCTGTTTCTCATAACCTCACAATTCACGTTTCTTTTTTTCCTTCAATCGATACAACAGTGAAGCATATTTTATTTCCATCACTTGACTACCACCCACAAACTTAAACTTCTTCCATGATAAACTATCCTTGGGAATTAGAAGTTTGTTCTCTTGGAAGCTTGAAATTGTCAAACATATTCTTCATCCTTCACGGAATTCCATTTCATATATTCTCTCATACCCTTCCACTCCTTTTATAACAAGGAACTAGTGGATAGGTTTACTTGAAGTGGAAAACAAATAATATACATCAATGTAAAGTTTTCCTAAAAACTGTGAATTGGTTAATATTTTGTATAAATCAGGGACAATTCATTCCTTCGTTTCTCTTAACCATGTCAAAATACTGAATCATATTGTTAGCTTTTTATTTGTCTTCTTTGATGGTTTCTACCTTTATTAAGAAAGATAGTGTGATTAGTCATGTTCATATGGGGTGTCTTCTTATTATACTAATTTTTTTATTCATATTATTCTTTTACCATTTATGTAAATAATGTTATTTTTATGTATAAAATGGGTTCCATCTAAAGTGATCAAATTGTGATAACAACTCACATAGTTTCCTTTAATAAACCTCCCATTTCCATATTCTTAATCATATTTGTTATGTAATTTTGTACAGTTTTCAAGTATAAAAAATGGAATTTTTTTTTTGGATTCTTTCCTAAAACATAAAGGGACAAACAAAAACTATGAAAATAGGTCAAAATCATAATAAGGAAGAGTTGAATTGTGTTTTAATAAACTTTAAAAGTTTTTCAAAAAATTGTGTTCAATAGATTCATACAAATGAAATTTGAAGCAAGACAAAACACTATTAAGCAAGAATGTTAAGAGTTGTGTCTTATGAAGAGTTGTCAAACACAACTTCAACTTTAGCAACATGTCATGTAAAGAGCCTTTTGAAAGACGTTTTAACAAATCTCTCATGCTTAGAATAGTTAAGGTAAATTACATGCAATATAAAAGGACTAAGGAAAGGAAAACTCTTGATTTCTTTTTATACTGGTTCGTCTTTAAATTTCATAGTACATTCAATTCTTTATCACTTGATGAGTTTTATTAAACATACTAAGGCTATGAAAGATACAGCGAGTATTGTTTCGACCTTAGCCTTTTGGGTAAAATAACTTAGAATATTATTTGAATATACAACCCACCTTATGTCTAACATAATATTTGAGTTATTTTAGCTGATAAATTGGCTAAAATAATATTTGGATGGACTAATGTTAATGATCAAAATTACTTTGGATGGACTTGGGAAGAAATGCAAATGAGCAGGCCGTTTCTTAGAAGAAAGACATACGACGTGTTATGTTGGTGTTAATGGATTTCAGAAAATAAGTCAATGCGGGCCAACTCGTTGTTGAGCTTGAGTGAGTGTGGGTTATGCAGGGTGGGCTTAAATGGGCAAATAGACTAAACTACTTAGCTTGCCTCGCATTTTTTCTTATAGGCACGCGAGTTAGCTTGCATGGCCTGCCTTGCATTGTCATTCTTAGGTAGAAAAGGTTGTGTCTTGATTAATGGCTATAACTTCGATCAAACAATGTTTTATGATGAATATAAAGATTATAAACACTTTTAGGTAACTATAAAATATAAACATGTTCTTATAAAGCTTATGCGCACAAAAAGATTTAAGTGCTTTGAATGTTAAATTGGAAACGGTTTTGACAAACTCAGTTTTATTTAACTTTTTTAACAAAGGATATTTTTTTATACAAAGCTTTGAAAAAAGTATTTGCTTAAATCCTTTATTTATATATATATATAAATATATTTCCAAAGCAACAAGACATGTTGACCTATAACCAACTTAAGACATCTCTTATAACATAATTACTTTTGACTAAAACAACTTAGCATTTTTGAATCAAATTATACTAATTAACAACACTTTGTTAGGACAGTGATTAAAAGATCACAATTTTTTCTTAATGTAAAATACGAATGATGTTTAAGATGACTATAAGTATAATAAACACTCTTTTAAGTTATAAAAATACAACCGTATTATTCTTGCTCACAAACCAAAAAGTTAAGAAGTTGTTTGAAAATAAACCTAAAAACTTTCTCTTAGACATTTCAAATTTTTTTTTTCACAAGATTATTATTTATAAACACTCAAGATGAAAATAACAATTTCAAATATTTTTAGAACCTTGTAAGATGTTGAAATCTTTGTTTTGTCTGCATTTAAAGCATAAATGCTTCATCACAACATTAAGAATATATTGTCTTATACAACTTTTGTATATGACTTATCAAATTTAAAACACGTGATTTTTTCGTAAAAATCTTTACCCAACCTATTACTAAATTTATAATTTAAAATTACATATTACGTATATTCTTTTAGACTAACTTTTATTCATATGATAAAATTTAGGCTTAAATGTTTACTTCGTCGTTATGTTAAGAGTTGAATTTCTGTTTAGTATCCGGTTTTAAAAACGAAAACATTGGATTCCTATGTTATGAAAAATATATGAATAAGGTTATTTCCATTAAGTTGATAGCAACGACGTTAAGTCCATGCTGATGTGGTCGTACTTTTTCTCTTCTATTGTCCAGTTTTTTCTATCTCTTGTTCAGCTTTTTCTTTGATGATTGGTTGAACTTATTCTTTTTTTGTGAACTTTATTCATATATTTTGCATAACATAAAATCTAATGTCTTCATTTTTAAAACCGGATACTAAAGAGAAATTCACCACTTAAAGTGGATTGAGACGAAGTAAGCATTTAAACCTAAAATTTATATACTTATTTTATGTTGTATTTACAAACTAGATTATTAATTAACTTATAGAGGCACTCTTAATGAATTTATTAACTTCCAAAATTATCAGTTGGTTTAATCGAATATACCCAACATACTATTAATTTTAGGGATCACGGCTTAATACCCACACCAAACGAAGGACAAATCACGGTGGAGGCCACCAGACAGAGCTTTTGGCAGCACAAAGAATGACGTTGGGCGCGAAATATGCAAACGCGCGTTTCCTCGGAAGCACTTCCGCTTTCTCTCAGTACAGAAAAAAAATTGCGGTGGCGAACCTATTCCAGAAGTACGGTTTCCCCTCTTCCCTCATCCCCTCCTTCCTCTCCCGCAACCCTTCCCTTCTCCAAGCCCCTCTCCCTCAACTCCAC